AAAATTTTTAAATTTATGTGGCTTTCCTTAAAAACCAGTAAGAAGAGTAAGATTCCATCTGTGGAACTTTTTGGATTGCGTATACTATGAATGAAAAAGGTGTAATGGCAATTTAAAGAAATAGGATTTGCTCTCAGATGAGCAGGATTAGATTGTAGCTTGATTAATTCTCATCTGTTTAGTATTATATGGATTGGATTGTAGCTTGATGAAACATAGAAAACAGATTTCTAGTCACATAGCAAATCAATGCCATGACAGGAGTTGGTCACAGAGGTTTGTGTTGTCTCTTGCTGTCTGGACCCTCCCAAACACTGTCCAGGAATGAGATGCCCTTGTACATACCCCATCCACCACTTCATTCTAAGCAGATGTCAGTCACCACTATGAAAGCAGAATCTGATAGCACTAAACACTTGAGTCAAATAATGGACTCCTCTAATCCATAAGGCAACCTTATGATAATTTGACTTGCAATGTAGCTTATGTACATGGAGAGGCTATATAACCTGGATGACTTGAATATATGCTTGCATATCTAGTTATAAGTCTTACTAGAAATCAGTACATTAGTTTTTCGTCTTTACATATCAGTCTCAAGAGCTTTGTTAATCCAAACCTGCTTCCGATGAGTAAATCCATTCTCCCTGTACTTACTAAGTAGGTAGTTGAGCGTGCAAAGCTAAGACCCCCAAACCCTGGACCTTGGTAGAGTCACCAAGATAATGTGTCCCTCCCTTCAGTCTCATTGTTTTCTTGGAATATATCCCAATGCCTTTTCCAGATCATCATATTACTAGCTGCCTTAATTTACTTCTATTTTCTTTATTTCTATTATCTCTAAATGTGTGGTGGCAGAGATATTCTTCCATATCAACGTTGCCAGTTTGCTGAAGAGGGGTGGAGCAACCCAACTTCTCTCTCTCAATCGCTGGGCCAGCCTGACATGACCAAGAATCACTGTGTAGTGAGCAAGGAAAGCTAATCACTGCACTGCAGGATCTCACTTTGTGGAACTGTTGCTTTGCTATATGCCTTCTTATAGCAGATGGAGCTGAAAGGAACCTTAAAGATGAACTAGCCCACCTTTCTTGTTTTGCAGATGAGGAAACAGATTACTTGCCTTGGGCAGTATATCTTTATGTTCTTCTAACAGTCTTTTGTCTAAGGTTGGCTGTATTGGCCTGAGCTTATGACCTGTCAGTAATCTTCTTCCTAACCCTAGTCTTATCAAATCATTACAAAAGTTTAACTGCCAAAGGCACTTTTCTTTCCTATAGTTCTGGCAACTTCTCCTTTTGTTGTATACCATTGATATCCAGGTTCACATTAGAAATATAAGTTCATCATCTATTTCAGACCGTGTTTCTAACTGGATTCTCTGTAGCCTGGTTCACGTTGTAGTCTGCCATTTTCTGGCAACAAATTGGATCTATTTTAATAATGATCAGAGATGCTGGATTTGTCATTTGGGATCTTTTTAACTCAATATCTCAAATTGTGGACATAGGATTTAATGAAATAAAAATAAACCTCAACAGTACTTCTTTAAATAATACTCACTATATAACCACAATAAAACTGTATTCCAGTAATTCCATTAAAATTTGTATGCTAACAATAGAACTTTGTTTTAAACTTTTTATTCATGTTTATTTTAACCACAATACTAATTGTTATTCCTAAAATACGTTTTTCTTTCTCCTCCTCCTTCATGGAGTATTACATGTTTTAATGTCATGGCAAACTCTTTTATTAGCTTAGGATAATAGGAGCTTTATATACATATATATATAGAAAAAAATAGCAAGTTACAAGTAAATGTACATTTTTCTTGTAATGTATCTTTACATATTTCAAAGAGGCAAGTGGCAGCAAATGTGAAATAAGCATAAGCAAAGTGCTTTCATTTAAGTGCTTAGAGGATTAGTGAAGGAGCACTTCCTAGAAGTGTGTTTTGAAGATTTTAAGAGAAGGTACAAATATTCACTCGTGACGAGGATGGAGTCAGAAAGGAGGGAAGTAAAACACACATTATGCACTGGGAGCTGCATTAGAAGGGGGAATGGATGCTAACAAAAAGAAAAACATCTGTTGCAGGATGGTTAAGTAGGCTTTCAGCCAGGGTGGAGAAGGGATGTTGACTCATAGTCATTGGTGAAGTTATTGAGATGTCATTTCAGCCTTGCTACCCACGTTTTGCTGGATAACGTGCTAGATCCTAAGGGAAAAGTTAAAGAGAAGGGAGAGACAGCGCTTGACCTGTGGGTACTTACGATCTTGCTGATGATACAAGGCAACAGAAAGTTAAAGGAGGATCCTTGAAAGCCAGTAAAAGGAACTTGGATTTTATATGGTATGTGATGACAGGAGCCATTGGAGGTTCTCATGTATCATCTTGCCTCTATCATCTGCTCAGAAGGGAGAGGTCTGAGCTGGGGAAGATCAAACTGAGCAGGTGCCTAGGTTTTAATCTTTATAGCTATACGTAATCAACAGAAGTGCTTTTTCCCACACAAAACTATTTTGAATCACTTTAGAAAAAAATGAACTACCTAAAATCTTCCGTCCATGATTAACAACTAGTAGAAAATCACTGGTTTGCTCTTGCAAACAGCATTTAATGTCAGTAGCTTCAGGCTGTTTTTCAGTTTTACAGTAAATTTTTTTACTGAAATCAATTTAGGTAGCTATTTTGTCCATGGGCTTTTGTTGTGAAAAGGTGATGTGAGTAGAATAGAATAATGAGATTCCTTTTCTGCACCAAAATATTAGCAAGCTGCTAATGGTTCCATTTTGATACTGCCACTTTCAAAGGAGAGAGATCAAGTTGCTTATGGAAACATTTTGGATTATGTTTAAAAGAGTGTGACTTTATAACAGTTCATATGGTAAATAATTCAAGGTTTGCTTTTAGTGCGTCAGTTTATCTCCTTCTTGGCTCAGCCCTAAGAGAGAAAGTTTCCAGATTTTTGTTGTCTATCTAATAAGTCCGCTGGGAATTGGTTTCATGCTGTGGGAAGGTAGATTTTATTTCTTCCCTTTCTTCTTCTTCGTCTTTTCATCTGCCTGTTTGCTACTTGCAAACCGTTCTGTGATTTCCACTGTCTCCACTGACCTTCTAGTGGGAAGCCTTTCAAGGTCCTCGGTTTCCTGGAATGACATTTGAGGCATATTTAAGTGCCTTATGATATTCCTGGGTTTATTTGGGTCTTGGCCCATTTGCATTGGTGGTAAGTCCCTGAGAGGCAATAGCACAAAAACAACAGGAGCCCTGAGATCTGGAGGTCTTCCACTCGTCATTTGAAAAGACTGTCCGGGAAAGGCATTGTTTAAGGGGTAGCTCTCTAAAGCCACCTGAGCTTTTGTGTTTGGATTCCTTTTTGTCTGGAGAAGAACATCAGTGAAGAAAGGTTTTACACCTGTTATGGCATTGATTTCATATGCATTGTGCCTGTCAGTCAGTGCTCTCCCTGTTAAAATGGGCTGAAAAACATGTGATCCTGAGACACCACTAACAAAGCTGTGGAGGACAGAATGCCAAATCCCGCCGCTTATTGGACTCAAAACAACCCGCGGCCATAAGCTGGCCAGGCTCCGGAGAGCTTCGCGGTTCCATGCGGAGGCAGGAAAGTCCGTCTCGGTGTGATAGAGCTGAGAAAAATAAATACTAAGAGTGATGCCTGGATATGTAATCAGGAAATTGTACACTTTGCTGATGCAGCAGTGGTTAGCTTCATTACAAGGGGAGTTGTTGCAATACAGAATGATATGCCTGATGCTGTCATTATTGTATATGGCTGAGTCAAGGTAACCATTCATTTCAAAGAGCATTGATTCTGGATGGATATGATTCCCAGTGCAACTGCTAGCATGGCCCTTTTGCACCAGGCTACCAGAAGAAGTTTTTAATTCATAAAATGTGAGGTGTTTTGTTTGAGGATATGTTGTCCCATAAGGGAATCCAAAAATCTGACAAAATTCTGTGAGGGAAACTCTTGCTTCTTCACCCGTTCGAATATGGTAAGGACAATTAGAGCAATCTAGAGAGAAGCTTAGCCAGTAATAAGGCTTTACTATTGTTCCATGATTTGCTAGGTATTCCTCATATGTGGGCTCCATTGCTAG